TTTCAATATAACCCGGACAAACATTTTTCATGCCTGTAGATGTGTACAAGTGACTCTAGGAGGCATTTCATGGAATGATCACTTTCCTGCTTGTCATGATGCTGTGATAATTTACATTCCAGTTCTTTTTTGTAAATGTTTATTGCAGAGTTTAACTGTATTTCATAGCTCACTAATGTGTAGTCTTCAATGTAAAAAGTTATAAAGTCCTATTTATCTGCATCATAGGCTTTCTTTTCATTCCATGTGATTCTTCACATTTTTGATTGTCTGATCAGGAACATCTCCTTTGTGGACCCCTGGAAGGACAGCCTTTCAGATTCCCCTCAGAACTGCAGTTGTCTGTCCCTGTACTCTTTGAGATAACCAAGTTACTGTCCATATCAATACAGAAAAGTAAGATTAAGCATTTTACATATGCTGTGCAAAATTCTTGTGCAGGGATACTATTTTGAATGTGTACATAGAAACACTACAAGGTGTTTGATGTTTAACATTGTGAAGAGTTCAACCAACTACAAAATTTACTGAGACGTTTTACAGAGAACTGCTCTAACTTCACACCAACTGCAAATTCGGGAGGTTTTCAAAACTACCTTCACATTCAATAATTTTCTAAACTCTCAGAACTCACTGAATACTTTTATTCTCACTGACTGATTTTTACAGGGAAAAGATGTATATTATACTTAGAGAAAAACCAAATAAGGCAGGGTCCAGATGAGAAGAACCAAATGTGGACCTTCTATTGTATTCTCTTGGCAGAGTAGGATGTATTACATTCCCAGTATGAAGGTATGACTTAGACTCAAAGTACTGTCAGTCACAGAAACTCACCTGAGTGCTGGGATCCAGAATAATTATTGGGTCTCCATTACGGAGCCATTATTGGTTGATTGATTCCTAGGTGGTTAATCAGTCTCCTGGTCTGCTAACTCTCTGTGACCTAAAGCTCTACCTTAAATCACATTGCTGTTATTTCTGACATGGAGAGGAGCATCTCCCACCCCCAAGCCCCCAAAGGATTTGCCAGCTATAACCGTAAATTATATTGTTTCACTATGCAGAGTGATCCATTGTTTGCCCTCAAGCCAACCAAGACACTCTCCTGAGGTATGACACTTCAGGATCCTAGAGATTACCTCTCAGATGCTGAGGACGAAGTCCCAACTTCTTTTTGGTTAGGTTAACTTTTTTTTTTTTTTTTTGGGCAGAGTCTCACTCTGTCTCCCAGGTTGGAGTGCAGTGGCACGATCTCAATCTCAGCTCACTGCAACCTCTGCCTTCCAGGTTTAAGCAATTCTCCTGCCTCAGCCTCCTGAGTAGCTGGGACTACAGTCATGTGCTACCACGCCTGGCTAATTTTTGTATTTTTAGCAGAGACAGGGTTTCAAGGCCAGGCTGGTCTCGAACTCCTGACCCCAAGTGATCTGCCCACTTCAGCCTCCCAAAGTGCTGGGATTACAGGTGTGAGCCACTGCACCCAGCATTTTTTTTATTTTATTTTTTTATTTTTTTGAGACAGGGTCTTGTTCTGTCACCCAGGGCTCACTGCAACTTCCACCTCCCAGGCTCAAGCAATCTTTCCACCTCAGCCTCCAAAGTAGCTGGGACTACAGAGTATGCCACCACTCCTGGCTCATTTTTGTAGTTTTAGTAGAGACAGGGTTTCACTATATTGCCCAGGCTGGTCTCAAACTCCTGGACTCAAATGATCAATCCCAAAGTGCTGGGATGACAGGTTTGAGCCACCGCACCTGACCTAGGTTAACTTCTTTATAAGGATATACAGCATAAACACAAATATACAAAGTATTGATTATGTTATTGCTTTTCCTTAAAGTTCCTTTTTATTCATATTTCATTATGTACATAAATTTTTATTTTCATAATTTATCACGCAAGACTAGACTAGGAAATTCATTAGAAATAGTAACAAGTTAAATGTATATCATATTTTAAAATTAAGTCTATTGTTTCTATCAAGGATTTTACATGTGAGACATGATGTGGTTCTGAATTGGCCTCACGCAAACCAGAAATCAGGGTGTACTTGGAAAACACAAACTGAATGTTCTCTGTATTCATTGAAGTTTAATGTCATGTCCTAAGTGTGAAACCTTGAGAGCACTGAATAAAGGCTTTACCTGTACACATCTCTTAAATCTGTGTCCTCATAGGAAGCAAGATCCAAACTGAGTTGGAGTCTGTTCCAGAAGCAGGAACACAGGAAGAGTGGTCCTGCCAGCAAATCTGGGAACAAATTGCAAAAGATTTAACCAGGTCTCAGGACTCTATCATAAATAATTCTCAGTTCTTTGAAAATGGTGATGTCCCCTCCCAGGTTGAAGCGGGACTGCCCACAATTCACATAGGACAGAAACCTTCCCAGGGTGGGAAGTGTAAACAGTCCTTCAGTGATGTTTCCATCTTTGATCTTCCTCAGCAGTTATACTCAGGAGAGAAGTCTCATACATGTGATGAGTGTGGAAAAAGCATCTGTTACATCTCAGCTCTTCATGTTCATCAGAGGGTCCACATGGGAGACAAACTCTTTACATGCGATGTGTGTGGCAAGGAATTTAGTCAAAGCTCACATCTGCAGACTCATCAGAGAGTCCACACTGGAGAGAAACCATTCAAATGTGAGCAGTGTGGGAAAGGTTTCAGTCGTAGATCAGCACTGAATGTTCATCATAAATTACACACAGGAGAGAAACCTTACATTTGTGAGGCATGTGGGAAGGCCTTCATTCATGATTCCCAGCTTAAGGAACATAAGAGAATCCATACTGGGGAGAAGCCATTCAAATGTGACATATGTGGTAAGAGCTTCCATTTTAGGTCAAGACTTAAGAGCCATTTCATGGTTCACACAGGAGAAAAACCATTTAGGTGTGATACATGTGATAAGAGCTTTCATCAGAGATCAGCACTTAATAGGCATTGCATGGTCCACACAGGAGAGAAACCGTACAGATGTGAGCAGTGTGGAAAAGGCTTCATTGGTAGGCTAGATTTTTATAAGCATCAGGTGGTCCACACAGGAGAGAAACCATATAATTGTAAAGAATGTGGGAAGAGCTTCAGATGGTCCTCATGCCTTTTGAACCATCAGCGAGTCCACAGTGGAGAAAAAAGCTTCAAATGTGAAGAATGTGGGAAGGGATTTTATACAAATTCACAACTGTCTTCCCATCAGAGATCCCACAATGGTGAAAAGCCATATAAATGTGAGGAATGTGGGAAGGGCTACGTTACTAAGTTTAATCTTGACTTGCACCAGAGGGTCCACACGGGAGAGAGACCTTATAATTGTAAGGAATGTGGGAAGAGCTTTAGCCGGGCCTCAAGTATTTTGAATCATAAGAGACTCCACTGCCAGAAAAAACCATTCAAATGTGAGGACTGTGGAAAGAGGCTTGTACACAGGACATACCGTAAAGACCAACTGAGAGACTACAGTGGGGAAAACCCATCCAAATGTGAGGATTGTGGGAAACGCTACAAGAGGCGCTTGAATCTAGATATACTTTTATCGTTATTTCTAAATGACACATAATTATTCATATTTATGGGGTACAATGTGGTTTTAATGTGTGCATATAATTTATAGTGATCAAATCAGTGTAATTGGTGTATCTATCACCTCAAATATTTACCATTTCTTTGTGTTGGAAAATTCAAAATCCATTTAAGAGGAGTTAGTAGACAGCAAGGGAAGGGTCCCTGGAGAGCCCCCACCGCATGGGTCAGTGCCTCATCCCCACATAACATAAAAAGCAGCCTGGGGAAGAAAATCAAGCTACAGGCACGGATAAGGGAACTAGCACAGGGGATTGTGCCTGGAGACAGGCCCGTGGCTGCACAGATAGAAGAACCTCCAGCTCACTCAGGTAAAAACTCGCACAAACCTCCGGCTCACTCAGTTAAGGGAACAAGACCTGACACAGAAATGCCTTTGTCCTTTGTATAATCAGCAGGCTCCCAGGAAAAAGTTTCTTCTTTCATGGGCATGAACATAGTGGGTTTCAGTAGGTTCAGATTGGCACTTTCCTTTGTGGAAAAGGAAAAGCCCAGGCTCTATAAATCATCGCTTCAGCTCCTGATTGGTCCCAGGCCAAGCTGAATAGCTGTTATGAATCATCACTTCAGCTCCTGATTGGTCCCCGGTCAAGCTGAATAGCCCTTATGAATCATCACTTCAGTTCCTGATTGGTCCCAGGCCAAGGTCCCAGACCAAGCTGAATCACACTTTCTCCAGGACAGCCGGCAGGCTAAGCGCATTCCTTCCCCTTCCCAGTCCATAAAAACCCCAGATCCCAGCCTCGTAGTGGGCAACTTATTTGGGTCCCCATCTCCACTGTGGAGAGCTTTTTTTCTTTCACTTTTTAAACTTTCACTCCAATTTCACCCTTGTGTCCGTGCTTCTTAATCATCTTGGACATGAGATTAAGAGCTCCGAGTGATACATCACAAGAGAGACTGCTACAGTGTGGTGCATTTGTGAGACTACAACACATTATTAGCAATTTGTAAATAATTGTTGATGATAGTCACCTTTAGTGCTGCAGAACAGTATAAATTCTTCCTCTCTACCTCTTTTGTATCTGTTAGCCAGCCTTTGGCCATCTCACCTACCTCCTACACTTCCTTGCCTCTACACCCACTCTTCTACTCTCTACTACGAACTCAGCTTTTTTTAACTTCCATATGAGGGAGGTCAATATTTCTCTTTCTTTGCTTGGCTTATATGACTTAATGATGTCCTTGAAAACTCATCCATGTTGCCACAAATGATAAAATTTTGTTTCCTTGTTATGTCTAAAGAGGATTCCATTGTGTATATATGCCACCTTTTCTTCATTCATGTATTGATAGACACTTAGGTGGATTCCATATCCTGGCTTTTGTGAGTAGTGCTACAATGAACCTGGGAGTGCAGATATCTCCTCGACATACTGATTTCCTTTCATTTGGATATACCAATAGTGGAATTGCTGGATCACTTGAATTTTATTAGGCTTCAGAAGCTCCACATGGGAGAGAAACTATAGAAGTGTGGGGAGGGTGGTATGTGCTTCATTCAGGCCTCAAGTCTTCAACTTCAGAGTGTCCACATTGGCGAGAAGCCTCAGTAATGTATGTAATAAAGTTTTTACTCAGTTTTCATGACTACAATCTCACCTAAGCATTCACAAAGGGGAGAAACATTAAAATATAAGGCACATAGAAAGCAGTTCCCTTTGAGTTCGTATCTTGTAATTTATCACAGAATCCATGCTGATGATACATTTCATCCTGTAGGAGAAAAAACATTTGTTTAAGTTAAAACCTTTTTCAGCCATAGCTCAGCATACCCCAGTGGTCCTAGGACTGTCATAGTGGAGAACCCTTGTTAAGTTGTGCAGTAGGGCTTCAAAAAAAAGTTTGACAGTTACAGTTATTCAGGAGACAGGCCTTAGAATAAGAGTTCATTCATGCATTTACAAAACTCTAATCATGAACATATCAAAGTTGATTACCACTAGAATGTCAGCAACATGTGTTTTTTGCTTTATCTTCACAACTTTTAACACTGATTATAATTTTGTGTTCACTGTGTGTTAAAAGAATCAAAAGGAGCAAACATGATGTTTTTAAATTGTATCTAAGAGAGGAAATCTACAAATAATTCAGGGACACCTGAGTTGAAATGCAGAGTACACTAAATACTGCATTCACAGCATTATTTTGATAATATCTGTTCCCACTTGGTTCCTGTCTTCCCCTCCTCCTCTATTCAGAAGTTGCATTCTTAGTATTTGTGGCTTTCTGTAGTGTTCCATTGGTTGAATACAATATAAATTCAACAATAATTTGTATTTTTTCTCACAGGCTGAAAACATTGTAATAAATTCAATAAAACATCTTAATAATTTCAAAAGTCTAATACTATAAAAAAGTCTTTTCCAATTATAATCTAGATTGCAAAAACTGAAATTCAATCACATCATGAAAAGTGGAAAATTCACAAGTATGTGGAAACTAAACAACATACTCTTTTTTTTTTTTCATACTTTAAGTTCTAGGGTACGTGTGAACAACGTGCAGATTTGTTGCATATGTATACATGTGCCATGTTGGTGTGCTGTACCCATTAACTCAGCATTTACATTACATATATCTCCTAATGCTATCCCTCCCCTCTCCCCACATCCTACAACAGGCTCCGGTGTGTGATGTTCCCCACCCTGTGTCCAAGTGTTCTCATTGTTGAGTTCCCACCTATGAGTGAGAACATGCAGTGTTTGGTTTTCTGTCTTTGCGATAGTTTGCTCGGAATGATGGTTTCCAGCTTCATCCATGTCCCTACAAAGGACATGAACTCATTCTTTTTTATGGCTGCATAGTATTCCATGTTGTATATGTGCCACATTTTCTTAATCTAGTCTATCATTGATGGACATTTGGGTTGGTTCCAAGTCTTTACTATTGTGAATAGTGCCTCAATAAACATACGTGTGCATGCAACACACTCTTAAATAATATGTCAGAGTAAATCAGGAGTGAAATTAAGAAATACCTGGAGACAACTGAAAATGAAAACAATGGCCAAAACTTTTGGAATGAGGCAAAAGCAGTAGAAGGAGGGAAATTTATACCTGCAAATGCTTATATTAAAAAAGAAGAAAGATCTGACATCCACAGCCTAATTTTATTTTCATGAACTAGAAAAAGAGAATCTTACAGAAAGTGATTAGGAGGGAAATAATAAAAATTAAAGTATTAATAAATAAAATAGAGAAGAACAATACAAAGAAAACCAAACCAAGAGTTGGTTATTCTGAAAGACTTACAAAATTGTGAAAACTTTAGCAGGACTGACTAAAAAATAAAGACTTAAGTAACTAAAATCAGAAACAAAAGTGGGGACATTATTACCAGTTTTTACAGAGGTGAGCCACAGCACCCAGCTGGATGTTTGTATATAGTGTAAGGAAGGGGACCAGTTTCAATCTTTTGCATATGGCTAGCCAGTTATCCCAGCAGCACTTATTGAATAGGGAGTCCTTTCCCTGTTGCTTTTGTTATTGTCATCAGTGACATGGTTTGGATGTGTCCCCACCCAAATCTCAGCTTGAATCGCATCTCCCAGAATTCCTATGTGTTGTGGGAGGAACCCCACAGAAAGTCAGAATTATTAATTAAAAGGGAAACAGAACTAAGAATTCTAAAATTTCACAGCCTATCTACTTTGGAAAAAAAATTAGAAAGCCTGTTCTGGATAAAACAAGGATAGAGAGAAGCAATCGATTTATGAGATTAGTTTGGATTGGTCATGTCAACTGAAGGCAGGACCTACTGTCCAAAACACTGGAAGAATGACCCCAAAGGCATCTCAGAGATCATAGAGGCTGCTCCTCCCATCACAGACCCAGAGTGCAAGGACCTGGGGAGCAGAAGGGACCTTTGATACCAAGTGCCCCTACCCTCTTAGGCTCAGTTCCCTGCATGCTATGATAGAGTGTGTCAATACATTTTATCTTTCGGGAAGGCAAACTAGATCAAGGATACAGCTATAACTGGCTTATGAATAGTGATCAGTCAGTTTTCAGAGAGTGGATGTTTGGTATCATAAAGTTGGCACAGTCACCTTATTTTTGTGTCTAAACAAAATTATGAAAAGTTTTTAGTTTAGAAAAATAGATTAAAAAAAGTAGACTCAATTTTTTTAAAAGAAGAATATTGGTTTATAGGCCAATGTATGTTTATAGGGAGAAAAAAATCAGGTTACCTTCAAAAGAACAGGTTTTTAGATGAATTGTTTCCTAATTTAGCTTTATACTATTATCTTTTTAACCAATGCCAGTTTTTAAATTGCGAACTATAATAAAGAAATTATGTTTCACCAAGAAATAGGAAGAAACTTAAGAAAAAAATTTTTTTCATTATTGAGGTATCTGTTGCCTACGCTGGAGTGCAGTGGTGGCCTCATAGCTCACTGCAGCCTCACTCAAACGCCTGGGCTTCAGCGATCCTCCCACCTCAGCCTCCTGAGTACTTGAGACTTGTAGTCCCAAGATCAGGCCACCCGGCCTGGCCACTTAAAAAAAAAATTACAGAGATGAAGTCTCCCTGTATTGCCCTGGGGGGTCTCCAGTTCCTGGGCTCAAGGGAACGTCCTGCCCGGGCCTCCCAAAGGGCTGGCATTACAGGTTTGAGTCACTGCACTCGGCCAGGAAGAAACTCTTAATAAAACATGCTCCCTCACCTATAGAATCTTCCCGTTTTACTGCATTTACAATCTCAATGTAAGATTGATACTAATGCCTAGCACTTCATCAGTCATTATTGCTCTGAGGTACTGAGCAATTCACTACATTCGCTGAAATTTGATGTTTCCGCACCTAAGGAGAAATTTGAATACCATGAAAAGTTTATGGGAAGATAGCTATTCCATGACGACACCGCTTCTCCGCTGGTAGTTGTGATCTCAAATGGGGGTGGCTTTTCCTGCCAAACCAGTGGTCCCATAGTTTCTGGAGTAGGGGCTGGTGTTTTCATGCTCCTCATTGCCCTTGCCAAACCATTCCACCTGGCTCATCCTTTAAACCCTTAGTTTTAACCTCCCATCGTCAGGTTATCCTAATCCTTGAAGACTTTATCTCCTCGTTTGTTCTCTTCCCAATAACACTCCTGTCATCGTGGGAGACGTTTAGACTTCAGGAATTCCTGTCTATACAATATTTTCTTTCAAAGACTCAGGGAGAGAGAAGGACGACTCACAGGGTCACAGTCCACATTCCCCACCAGGCGCTCAGATATATGGGATACGTTCCGGGTGGGCATTGCGGTGTGTGTAGTCAACGACCACCGCGGAGTCCAACACTTCCCGCTGAAGAGTGAGCTTATAGACATTTTCCATTCGCATTGGAGGAAGTGGACTCCAGACACATTCTGAGTCGCGGGCAGGTTGGCTCAGGCGGGTGGACGAGTGAATTCTGGGAACTGTAGTCCATCAACTTCATGGAGTGGCGGTTTGACGCCGGCGGTTGAACCGGGGAATTCTGGGAAGTGGAGTCCAGACGCTCTGTGGAGGCGCGAGCGGTTCCGGTCTGTGAGCCTGCGGTTGCTGCTTAACCGCGTAGTTTGAGCCATTTCTGCGTCTGGCGGGCCCTTCTGAACTTGTCACCTTTGCCTGGGGTCGCAACGACCAGATGATCGATGATCCAAGCAAGGGAAAAGAAGCCTTGGCGGAGAGCGGAGGTTTGGTGGGGCGGGAAATGGGGTTTTGTTCCCGTCCACGAAGCTTTCTGGGATCGGGGTGCTGTGCTCACATCCCGGGGGGTGGAATTGGCGGGATCCTCTGTGCCCTGCTCTGAGCGTTTCCAGAACTTTGACCTCGCTCAGCCTGCCTCCCTCCACCCTACGTGTGCGACCTCTTTCTCGCAGTGTGACGTGGAGTGTTACTCAATGTCCTTGTACTTTCCATTGCTATTTTTTGTAATGGGGACATTAGAACCATCCTAGTAGAATCGTTTTTGGGAACTGAAAGAGGTAACGCAAATGAGAACCTTAAAGCAGCCCCTGTCACTTGGTGACTGGTGGTCTCTTTTTAACTTCCCGAAGAGGTCAGGTCTCCGGGTGGGGTCATAGCTCCAGCTGCAGGGGCCCTGGTCCTTCTCCCTAATCCCTGCAGGACGCTGGATGATCCCAGGAGGCCTTCTGACCTCTTTTTAGGAAAGCCAGAATTGCGTCCGCCTTCCGCGAAGGGCGGGGAGCATTTAACTTTTATGGGGGACCGCGATGCAGTCAGGGTATTTCACAACTTTCGCCTTCCCCAGCCTGACCTTTCTAAAAGAGCTGCAGGGAGGGGACTTCTTGGCTACTGAGGGCAAATCTCTATGTGATTGATCCTTGACTTTTTTCTTTTACAGAGATGTTCAGCTCAACCGAGAGTGTGTCCTCGGGCATGGGTGTTGATAATCATTAAGCCGTAATTGGTAGCTTCATTCTAAGTGCTTTATACAAATAAATTTAGGCCACACTGGGGCTCTGTGAAGTATTGCTTTTCTCAATTTTAAAGATGAGAGTGAGACACAGGATGCATAGCACCCAACTAGTGAGAGGTGGAGCTGGGGTTGGAACCTAGGCAGTCCAGGTCAGAGCCTGAGTTGATCATCCCTTGGATACATTCTCATTGAGTCAGAGGAACTAGCTGGACTTGTGGGGAAAGCAAGTTAGGACTTCATTGAAAGGACGTTGAGAGCAAGGCTCATGGGCTTGGACTTCTAGGAATTTAAAAATTTTTTTCTCAACTATTTTGTTTCACGTTTTCCAAGTATTTCGTATTGTTGTGGAACTGTATCATTGTGGACCAGTCTGAAATGCGAGAAATAGGAGTAGAAAAAGTTTTTAAATTACCCATGAATCTAAGATGTAAAGATAGTAACTGTTAAGCTTCTAATTGATTTCTTTTTAGTCTTTCTTTGCGTCTATTTCTCTATTTGTTTATAAACATTTAAAAAAATTGTTATATTTTAATGTATGTCTTTATAGAAAATTTTAAATACTGCTAATAGAGAATAAACTAGTGAGGCTGGTTGAGGTGGCTCATGCCTATAATCCCAGCATTTTGGGAGGCCAAGGCACGTGGATCACTTGAGGTCAGGAGTTTGAGGCCAGCCTGGCCAACATAGTGAAACCCCATCTCTACTAAAAATACAAATATTAGCCAGGCGTGGTGGCACATGCCTGTAGTCCCAGCTACTCCAGAGGCTGAGGCAGGAGAATTGCTTAAACCCGGGAGGTGGAGGTTGCAGTGAGCCAAGATCACGCCATTGCACTCCAGCCTGGGCAACAGAGTGATACTCAAAAAAAAAAGAATAAACTAGTGAACTGCCATATTATATCATGCTCAATTTTATTATTCGCATTATCCTTATGACTACTTCCTGATATTTAAAATATTTTCATTTTTATATCATTTAAAAGCTATAGAAAAGTTGCAAAAATTGCATAAGGAGTTCTCATATACTCTATCCAAATTTGCCAGTTGTTTACATTTTTCCAGGTTGCTTTGTTGATGACAATCAGCCAAATACCACCAGTAACAACACTAACCAGAGACAGCTGACTATAGCTTTCTGCAGCACGGAAGCCCACATACCATGATAAATGTGGGCGTTTTGGTAAGAGGTATTTAGGAAGGGATGGTATAGGGTTTCACATAACATGTTAGATAATATTAGATAGTAAATAATATTGTTATCTATTACATATCAGATCTGTTAAAAGACTACTAGTAGTTGTAGTGTTACTCATTAGATAGTGGTTGGATAGCATATTACCTAACATCCTGTTATCTAATTTGTAGTTAGATATTTAAATTTGTTCAATTTTTCATTTAAAGTCCTATGCCAGGCACGGTGGCTCATGCCTATAATCCCAGCATTTTGGGAAGCCAAGGGGGTGGATCACCTGAGGTCAGGAGTTCCAGACCAGCCTGGCCAACATGGTGACACCCTGTCTCTACTAAAAATATAAAAATCAGCCAGGTGTGGTGGCACACGCCTGTAATCCCTGCTACCCGGGAGGCTGAGGCAAGAGAATCACCTGAACCCAGCAGGCGGAGGTTGCAGCGAGCTGAGATCGTACCACTGCACTCTAGCCTGGGTGACAGAGCGAGACTCCATCTCAAAAAATAAAAAAATTAAGTCCTTATGAGTGTCCCCTGCCCCATCCTTCACCTGCAATACCATTCAAAGTCCAGTTTATGCATTGTCTTTCGTTGTCACATTCCATAGTTTCTTTAGTCTGGAAAGATTCCACAGTCTTTGTCTTTTATAAACATGGTGTTTTTTTTGTTTTAATAGGAAGGTTATTTTGGAGAAAGATGTTCATTTGGAGTTTGATGTATTTCATGTTTAGTTTCAGATTGTGTTTTGTTGGTAAGGATATCGCACAAGTGATGAAGTTTCCTCTTTATTGCAACGTAACAGGGTTCACATGATGTCGGTTTGTCCCTTCACTGGTGATCTCAACTATGTTCACTTGGCCAAGATGATGTCTTTCAGATTTGTCTGCTATAAAGTTACCTTTTTTAAAAAAACTAAAGTTTCTTATTGGAAGATACATTATTAGTGAGCATTCTACTAAAGATGAGCTTCTGGTTCTGCTCATTTATTCATTTGTTTGTTTAACTATAAATCTGCCAACAATATGGACTCAGAATTCAGTCTTATGAAGGTAAATTACATGTAGATTAGCAATTTTTTTTTCAACTCTGTTGAGGTATATTTTACATAAAGCATTCACTCATTTCAGGAGTACAGTGATCTTTAGGAACTTCGTAAAGTGGAGTAACCATCATCATAATTCAGAGTCCCCCAGTTGGACTCTGTGCCCATTTACAATTAAACGTCATTCTCACCCCAAATCTGGAGCAACCACTAGCTTACTTTTCCTCTATGTATACGTTTGCCTATTTGGACATTTCGTATGAATGGAATCATATAATCTATGGATTGTTGTGACTGGCTTCTTTCTCTTAGCATGTTTCCAAGGTTCATGCATGTTGTAGCATAAGTTGGTCCTTCATTCCTTTTAATTTCCAAATTAGATTCCGTTATATGGATATACCATGATTTTTCTATCCATTTACCCAGAGGAAGGCATTTTGGTTGTGTACAGTTTTTGGGTTAGTATGAATAATGCTGCTGTGATCATTCATAATACATGTCCATGTTGCTACACAGCATCCCCAGCCACCTTTTCATGTCTCTCTTTTTACTGTTTCTGGCATTTTCCAGGCACGATTCCACCTTCCTTCATGCTCCATTACTCAGGACTCTGAAGATTACAAAAAGTAGTAGGAAAAATGACCACATTCAAGGTGAGTAGAGCTCACCTCTCTTGCTATTAAAATTCCATCTTATTGCTCATATTGTCATACATTTTTCTCTGTCTTGGGAAGACTCAAGGAGGAAAAGGGCATTTGGGACCTGTCATGTGCCAGTTGCTTCCTTTGTCTCTTTTTTGTTGGCTTTGCATTTGGTTTTTGGTTTTTGTTTTGTTTTTTACCGTTACATTATGGAGTAGAAAAATTAGTAGGAAAGAACAGTACTCCCACTTCTTTACCTCCTTGCTCTCAAATTAGTCTGTTTTTTCTTCTTGTGCTGTTCCTTGTACATTTGTAACTGTATTTGTATTGATGATGGAGTTCCTTGTGTCAAGAGTGTGCTATACACCAAGATAACATGTCCTTCTGGTTTTAATTCATACTTGTCCATCAGATAGTTAGTCCCCCTTTCTGTGGAGACCCCCATCACACATGTTGGCTCCATCCCTCTTAGATGCTCCGAGGACCCTCTGACCTACTTCACCCACTTCCTGAGTCCTCTGGCCCTAGGAATGAGCTATTACTTAAGGTGTCTCAATCAGCGGATCATGTGCCAAGCTCCTGTGTTTCCATATTCTGTCCTCTCTGTCTCAATCCATGCAGCCAGCTCACATCTGTGGAGGGGTGGCCTGTGTCCCACTTATCATTCTGTCTTCTTTATAAATCATCAAGCTGCTGTCCAGCCAGCCTGCGTCCCCAGGCTGCCATCACTGCACTGGGCCAATTGCCCAGGATATAAGTGCTCCCCCTTTGCCGGTCCAGAGTTCTGTCAAATTGGACCCTGCTGGCTGCACCAATTCCATGGAACAGGTTCACTAGTTACAGACTTGGGAAGCCCACCATGAGAGAGCACACTCATATATGACAAATTACATAAAGCAGATTTATTACATATAGGTAGCAAGGGACAACAGAAGCCTATGATCCACTGTGAGCCAGTCCCCCAAGGCTCAAGAAAGCTGCCTAGAGTGGGTGGAGTCATGACTGCATATGCCCCATTTGCACCATAGCTGAGCCACCCCAAGAGGCAGCGTGTCCCAGGTTATATGCCTCAGGGGCAACATTACTTACTAAGCAGTTCCTCCCTAACTCAAGATATTATCTTTTATGGATTGGACTAGGATCAAAGAAGGTATAAAATTAAAAAATAAAAATAAAAAGATGTTATCTTCCCTAGGAAGGACATTGCATAACTAGCATATTTATGGTTATTCTTGAGACCTGTAAACAAGAAAGTGGGGAGAATGGATCCAAGGCCACTTTGAAAATAGTTACTTAAAACCTGTTAATTTGGCAAATACTAAAGAAAAGTGATAGCATTCAGGGTTTGGGTCTGAGAGAGGAGGACAATAAGCCTCAACAAACAAGGTTGAGACTGAATTGCTCATTGTTGCTGGGGCAACTGGGGCAATTGGCAAGATTCATTGAAACCTATATAGGTGTAGCCCAGGATGCACCATTTGAAATCCTAAGGGGTTACTTACAAGGAGACTCAGTAAGTGCACAAAGTAAAAATACAGGAGGTCTTTTTCATGATTGCACTTCTGGTGGAGCTCAGGAAAATCATTGTCAGGATACAGACAGAATGAGTGGGCAATCTATAAGTTGACCTCCACTTCTCTTCTCCGCCTGCTCAATGCCGCTCCTCCCCCAGTAGTCCATGGTCATAGGATTGAGGTTATGTATCTTGATGTTGTAGGAGGCAGTGACCTTCAAGGATGTGGCTGTGTTCTTCACTGAGGAGGAGCTGGGGCTGCTGGACCCTGCCCAGAGGAAGCTGTACCAAGATGTGATGCTTGAGAACTTCACAAACCTGCTGTCAGTGGGTGAGCATAGGCACCCTCTGTAATGCAACATCAGGCCCTAGGAGTGGCTTTGTATCCTAGAGTATTCAAGTTTGTGTATGCAGTGGGAACCTACATTTCCAATAAATTTTACCTTGATATTACCTAGAATGAATTGGGATTAAGCACATGACTTTGCACGTTCACAGGGTATCAACCGTTCCACCCTTTCCACTTCCTAAGGGAAGAAAAGTTTTGGATGATGGAGACAGCAACCCAAAGAGAGGGAAGTTCAGGTAAGAAGCAAGCAACTGTGCATCCCTGTACATGACTTGCCCGTTTGTTTTACTTCTGAATGTGCCCACTTACATCACCCTGATCTAAATTGCCCAATCTCTTTCCTAGTTTATTACAACCCCTTTCTGGCTGGTGGTCCTGTTCCCTCCCTTCTACCCTGACATCTGTTTTCCTCAGAGCAGCCAAAATGATCCTTGGGAAATGCAAGTCAGTTTTCCACTCCTTGGTCCAAAAGCCTGTATGGTTTCTTAATGTTATTAAAGTTACAACCTCTTTATTGGCTTTTAAAGACCCTGTGGTCTGTTCTTCATCCCCTGCTGCCTCTTGACTACATTTGTCCTCTCCCCCTTACACCATCTTTTCCAGCCATGTTCTCCTCCCTGCTGTTTTTCTGTCCTGTCATGGCCGCTATATTCCCTGTTGCTGGTAACAACAGACTTCACAGATTAAACAACAAACATTGTTGTTCTTTCTGACATGGGGAGGACGGTCTCCCACCCCTCACCCTGGAAATGAGTGGTCAGCCACAACCCTAAATCATATTGTTTCACTATCCAGAATGATCCAGAATTGGCACTCTAACAAACAAAGTCACTCTCCTCCAGCATGATATGTCAGGATCCTAGAGATTACCCCTCAGATGCTGAGGACAAAGTCCTGACTTCTTTTTACTTAGGGTAACTTCTATATAAGGATATACAACATAAACACAGACATATAAACTATTGATTTTGTTATTGCTTTTCCTTAAATTTCCCTTTGATTTATATTTCACTATGAACATTTAGTAATTTATCATGCAATTTATCATGCAAGATTTTTGACTGACCAGAAAATTCCTTAGAAATAGTAACTAATTAAATGTATATATTATATCAATTTTTTAATTGAGTCTATAACTTCCATCAAGGATTTTACATATGAGACATGGTGGGGTTATAAATTGGTCACATACAAACTAGAAAACAAGATGCATGGGGAAAACATAAACTGAACATTCATTAAAGTTGAATGCCATATCCTAAGTGTGAAATCTTAAAAACACTGAACAAAGGCTTCATTTGTCCACATCTCTTCATTCTGTGTCCTTATAGGAGGCAGGACTGTTGTGGAAGCAGGACCACATGAAGACTGCCCTTGCCAGCAAATCTGGGAACAAACTGCAAGTGACTTAACCCAGTCTCAAGACTCCATCATAAATAATTCTCACTTCTTTGAACAAGGTGATGTCCCCTCCCAGGTTGAGGCAGAACTATCTATAATTCATACAGGACAGAAACCTTCACAGAATGGGAAGTGTAAACAATCCTTCAGTGATGTTGCCATCTTTGATCTTCCTCAGCAGTTACACTCAGGAGAGAAGTCTCATACATGCAAGGAGTGTGGAAAAAGCTTCTGTTACATCTCAGCTCTTCGTATTCACCAGAGAGTTCACTTGAGAGAGAAACTCTCTAAGTGTGACATGCGTGGTAAGGAATTCAGTCAGAGTTCATGTCTGCAAACTCATGAGAGAGTCTACACTGGAGAGAAACCATTCAAATGTGAGCAGTGTGGGAAAGCCTTCAGATGTAGAGCGATACTTCAAGTTCATTGCAAATTACACACAGGAGAGAAACCTTATATTTGTGAGAAATGTGGGAGGGCCTTCATTCACGATTTCCAGCTTCAGAAACATCAGAGAATTCATACTGGGGAGAAGCCATTCAAATGTGAAATATGTGGTAAGTGCTTCTGTCTTAGGTCAAGTCTTAATAGGCATTGCATGGTCCACACAGCAGAGAAACTGTACAAATCTGAGGAGTGTGGAAAAGCCTTCATTGATAGGCTAGATTTGCATAAGCATCAGATGATTCACACAGGACAGAAACCGTACAATTGTAAAGAATGTGGGAAGAGCTTCAGATGGTCCTCATATCTTTTGATTCATCAGCGAATCCACAGTGGAGAAAAACCATACAGATGTGAGGAGTGTGGGAAGGGCTACATTAGTAAGTCAGGTCTTAACTTGCACCAGAGGGTCCACACTGGAGAGAGACCTTATAATTGTAAGGAATGTGGGAAGAGCTTTAGCCGGGCTTCAAGTATTTTGAATCATAAGAAACTCCACTGCCGGAAAAAACCCTTCAAATGTGAGGATTGTGGAAAGAGGCTTGTACACCGGTCATACTGTAAAGACCAACAAGGAGACCACAATGGAGAAAACTCATCCAAATGTGAGGACTGTGGGAAGCGCTACAAGAGGCGCTTGAATCTGGATATAATTTTATCATTATTTTTAAATGATATGTAAGTTGTATATATTTATGAGATATGGTAAGAAATTTTAATATGTGTATATAATGTGTAATGATCAAATTGATGTAATTAGTGTATTACCTTAAACATTTACCATTTCTTTGTTTTGGGAAAATTCAAAATCCATTGTTCTAGCGATTTGAAAAGAAACAATAAATTATTGTTGATTATAGTCACCTTTGGTGCTTTAGAACACTAGAATGTATTTCTCCTATCTAGCTGTACTTATGTATCGTGTTACTGAATCTTTGGCTATCTCACCTAACCCCTACACTTCCCTGCTTCTAGAACTACTGTTTTACTCACTACTTCTATGAAATCAACTTTTTTAGCTTCCATATGTGTGTGAGGACAGTTGGTATTTATCTTACTTTGCTTAGCTTATGTTGTTTAACATAATGTCCTCCAAAGCTCATCTGTGTTGCCATAAATGACACAATTTTGTTTTCTTTTTATGCCCAAAGTGTATTCTATTGTGTATATATGCCACCTTTTCTTCATTTATCTATTGATGGACACACAGGTGGGTTCCATGTCTTAACTGTTGTGAAGAATAGTTCTCCAATGTACATGGGAGTGTACATACCTGTTCCACATACTGATTTCCTTTGCTTTGGATATACTCAATAGTGGGATTGCTAGATCACTCAAATCTTATGCCTCAGAGGCTTGACATAAGAGCAAAACTATGAAAGTGTGGCTAGGGTGGTATGGCCTCATACCACCTCAGGCCTCAAGTCCTCAACTGCACCAGAATGTCCACATTGGACAGAATCCTTAGTAATGAGGTGTGTGATAAAGTCTCTGCTCAGTTGTCTATAATCTCATCTGAGAGTTCACAAAGGAGCAAAACATTAAAAAGAGGCATATGGTAAACACTTCAGTGTATGTTTATATCATAATTTATCACAGGCCATACTGGTGATATATTTCATCCAGTCTTGCAGGAGAGAAAACATTTAAGTTAAATTCACTGTTTTACCATAGCTCAGCATACTCCCATCATCCTGGGACCATCATAGTAGAGAACTCTTGTAAATTGTGCAGTAGGGTTGCAAACAGAACTTTGACATTTACACTTGTCATTCAGGAGAAAGGCCTTAGAATAAGAGTTTGTTGACACATTTACAAAACCCTAATGATGAACATGTCAAAATTGATGACCACTAGAATGTCAACTACAGGTACCTTGTTTTCTGCATCTTCAGGACCTTAACACTGATTAGCACTTACATGTTTAGTATGTGTTAAATGACTCAAAAGGAGAAAATGTGATATTTTAAAATTGTATCTAGGAGAGGAAATCTACAAAAAATAATTCAGAGACACCTGAGTTAAAATGCAGAATATACTCAGTACTGCAATCCAAAGCATTATTTTGGGTAATACTACCCTATTGCACTTGGCTGCTGGCTTCCCCTCATCCTCTGTTCTGAAGTTGGATTTTTACTACTAGTGGCTTTGTCTAATGTTCCATTGGTTGCATACAATATAAATTCAACAATCATTTGTAATTTCTCACACTACAGGCTGAAAATGGTTTGTTAACTTGGCAATAACAGTCCACTGCATATTTCACAATTACATTTTTTCAACAATGTTAAGGCAAAATTTATAGTAATTTTATGTGGCAGATGTAGTTACATTGGAAAAAACTTCCTCAGTTCTGAATTCACATGATTTCTTGTGTATTTTCATGCAGGCTTTGATATGACAGCCTTCTAATTGTGGTAGCATTTATTTTATCAAACAACTCAGGTAGAAGCTATGCCAATTTGACAATTTTTGGAAACCTAATATTCTCTTCCTATCTCTATGAAATACTAAGAGAAACCTATGGGAGTTCGGTAATTTCGTCAAATGTATCCATGGTTGGGGTAGGAGTGACATTTACATGTTCTTCTTTATTGTTGGCAGTAAAAATAAGTCTTTTGTAAGCAGTGTATATCAGAATATATAAGGTACAAGTGTTTTATCTGGAAATGATGGGATAGGAAATTACAATTATGATGTTAAAACTGAAAAGTAGAAAACCACGTGGATGATATCACCCCATTTTAAAATGGAATAAGTATTCTACAAGAATTTATGTGAAAAGCATTTATTCCTATAACATGAGACCAATAAAATGATGGCACCAGACATACAGTAAAAGGAGAAAAACATAATGTGAGCTTTGTGAAATCAGACTGTAACCTTCATAACATAATCAAATATCTTTGTGTGTTTCTGAGACTTTTTAATGTGTATATACGTGTGTATATACGTAATATGTGAACAAATATTCTTTCCTCTGGCAATGAATATTTGCTGCTGGTATTTTTCCATTTTATAATTTTATGCATTTTTAGATTTCTCAGTGAACATCAGTTTTATCAAAGTAGTAAATTTTGTGCAATAAATTTGCAAACTTATTAATGTTAATCACTTACCTATCAGGACTCAGAATCTCAGAATAAAGTTGCTCTATATTGTCATATGACGTAAGTTCACAATGACTAGGGTCCTGGAAGTCATTTCAAAATGAAATATTCTCTAGTTGGGCCAGGCGCGGTGGCTCACACCTGTAATCCCAGCACTTTGAGAGGCTGAGGCTGGCGGATCATGAGGTCAGGAGATCGAGACCATCCTGGCTAACACAGTGAAACCCCATCTCTACTAAAAATACAAAAAATTAGCCAGGTGCGGTGGTGGGAGCCTGTAGTCCCAGCTACTCGGGAGGCTGAGGCAGAAGAATGGCATGAACCCAGGAGGTGGAGCTTGCAGTGAGCTAAGATCATGCCACTGCACTCCAGCCTGGGCAACAGAGCTAGACTCCATCTCAAAAAAAAAAAAAAAAAAAGGGAAAGAAAAGAAATATTCTCTGGTTCTTCGAATATGCAGATAAATTGATGAAGTCTGGTTAACTGTCTTGGTAATTAAAGCATGTGATGCTTCTTTAGGGATAAGTCAGGGAGTGTGCAAATACTGGAGATCCTGCCCAGTGCCCAGGCACAGCTGATTTATCAAGACAGAGAATTCACAATAGAGAAAGAATTTAATACACAGAACTGGCTAAATGGGAGACGGGGTTTTATTATTACTCAAATCAGCCTCCTTGAAAATTTGGAGGCTAGGGTTTTTCAAAGATAGTTTGACAGGCAGGGGGCTACGGAATGGGTGCTGCTGATTGGCTGGGGATGTTAAAAATGGTCCTTGGGCACTAAGCCCACTTCTGGGTGGGGGCCACAGGACCAGTTGAGTCAAGAGTCATGGGTTTAGGTGGGGCCATCCAGTTGTCAGAAATGCAGAAGCCTGAAAAGACATCTCAAAAGGCCGGTCTTAGTTCTACAATAGTGATGTTATTTACTGGAGTAACTGGGGAAGTTGCAAATTTTGAGACCTCTGGAATAACGCTGGAAATCAGAATAATGGCTGGTAATCGTTTACATATATTATCTTAGAAGTCAGGCCCCTCTCATCCTCCTAAACTAGTGGGGCCTTTCAATCGTATTACAAAGGCAGTTTAGTTTGGGGAAAGGGCTATTATTTAAACAATAAACTAAATTCCTCCCAAAGTTAGCTTGGCCCATGCCCAGGAATTACCAAGGGCAGTTTGGTGGTTAAAAGCAAGATGGAATTGGTTAGATGAGATCTCTTGCACTGTCATAATTTTCTCACTGTTAAAATTTTTACAAAGGTGATTTCAGAGATTGAAATAGATACACGTATGTTGTGAAGGTTGTTTGTTTTTTGTCTTTTAAAGCAACAGATCCTCACCTGAGGTCAGGAGTTCGAAACCAGCCTGGCCAACATGGTGAAACCCTGTCTCTACTAAAAATACAAAATTAACTGAGTGTGGTGGCACATGCCTGTAATCCCAGCTACTCAGGAGACTGAGGTGGGAGGATCACTTGAAACCAGGAGGCAGAGGTTGCAGTGAGCCAAGATCATGCCATTGTACTCCAGCCCGGGTAAAAAAACTCCATCCCAAAAAATTAAAAAAAAAAAAAAAAAAAAAAAAAAAAAAAAAAAAAACAGATCCTTTGAAAACCAGAGGTGTATGGGCAGGAAACATAGCATGACAGCAGCAGAGCTTCTGTTGCTATGGATCCAGTTAGAACAAAGACCTGGTTTGGATGCCAATTCAGAGTTATACACCATGGTGTTGACAAAAAGAGTCAAACTCTACAAAATATAAAGAGATTTATTCTGAGCCAAATATGAGTGACCAAGGCCCATGACATAGCCATAAAAGGTCCTGAGAACATGTGCCCAAAGTGGTTGGGTTATAGCTTGGTTTTATACATTTTAGGGGGACAGAAGTTACAAGCAAACATCAATCAATACATGTATACATCGATTTGGTCTGGAAAGGCGGGACAACTCGAAGTTGGCCATGGAGGTGCTTCCAGGTCATAGGTGGATTCAAAAATTTTCTCATTGGCAATTGGTTGAAAGAGTTATCTAAAGTCCTGGAATCAATAGAAAAGAGTGTCTGGATTATGATAAGGGGTTCTGGAGACCAAGGTTTTTATTACGCAAATGAAGCCTCCAGGTAGCAAGCTTCAGAGAATAGATGGTAAGTGTCTCTTATCAGGTGGAAAACAGTGCCAGACTCTTTAGTGAATTCTCTTCTAGAGAGAGACCTGGAAAAGGAAGAGGAATGTAGATTTTACAAAATGAATATACTAAGTATGCTAGATTCTAACGAGATTGTTCTGATTTGACAATATTAAAGGTTTTCTTAATAAATTGACTTCCAATCTCATCTTTAATATCTGTAGTACTCTTGTGTACTGAATATTATTTTTTTCATTAAACAGTTTTCTGTAGATTCTGAGGAAAAGATACAAAAAATTTTTGAAAAACTCAAAAGGCAGTTTTCTGCTGATGAAGATCTGTGTGATAATTGATTTTAATGGATTTATAGTGCATAGACTATAGTCCCTAGTTATTTAATCAAGCACTAATATAGAAATTGTGATGGTATTTTGTAGATATTCAGCCCATAATCAGTTGGTTTGAGTAGGGATATTATGCTAAATACAGGTAGGCCTGATCCATCACTTGAAGATCCTTTAGAATAGAGCTGAAGCTTCTCTGAATGAAAAAATACCACACCTGCTGGTGGCATCTTCCTCTCATGGGTTAGAGTTCCATCTTCACCTTTCTGGTGGCCAGCCATATGCATTTTGGAATTGCTTAGTGATGTGGTTTGACTCTGTGTCTCTACCCAAATCTCATGTTGAATTGTGATCCAGAGTGTTGGAGGTGGGGCCTGGTGGGAGGTGACTGGATCATGGGGGTGGTTTCTAATGATTTAGCATCATCCCCCTAGTGCTGTCTTTTGATGGAATTCTCATGAGATCTGCTTGTTTTAAAAGTGTGTAGCACCTCCTCCTGCTCTCATTCTCTCCTGCTCTGCCATGGTAAGATATGCTGGCTTCCCTTTCACTTTCCATCATGATTGTAAATTTCCTAAGGCCTCGTAGCCACGCTTCCTGTACAGCCTGCAGAACTGTGAGTCAATTAAACCTCTTTTTTTCATAAATTACCCAGTCTCAGGTAGTTCGTTTTTTGTTTTTTTTTTTTTTGTTTTTTTTTGTTTTTTTTTTGAGACGGAGTCTTGCTCTGTTACCCAGGCTAGAGTGCAGTGGTGTGATCTCGGCTCACTGCAACTTCCACCTCCCAGGTTCAAGCAATTCTCCTGCCTCAGACTCCCGAGTAGCTGGGATTACACATGTGTGCCACCATGCCCAGCTAATTTTTGTATTCTTTGTAGAGACGAGATTTCACTATGTTGGCCAGGCTGGTCTCAAACTCCTGACCTTAGGTAATCCACCTGCCTTGGCCTCCCAAAGTGCTGGGATTACAGGTGTGAGCCACTGCACCTGGCCAGGTAGTTCTTTATAGCAGTGTGAGAACAGACTAATAGACTTAGCCAGATCCACAGTGCCAAAGGAGAGTTCCTTGCAATAATTGCTTGTATATGTCATACTGATTCTGTTTCTCTGGTTGAATGCTGACCAAAAGACATTTTGCCCCACAAGAACTTCCAGAGGAAGAGCACCCTAAGGATGAGTTTTCTGAATTGATTGTGTTTTCTAAAATTGGATTTCTACTCTTACTAAATTTAAGAGCACTATTGACTTTATTTCCAGTGCAACATAGGGAACTGGTTGTCAAAGGCACGGTGTGATAATATGCCAAATATCATATTGAATAATCCTAATAAAATGCATATTGGAATGATTCTGGTTACCATGAATTTGTTAGTTTAGGACACAGTAGACAAACTTTTCAGTATAGTATATTTCCTGGATGCTCCTACTGGGGCTTCAGAAATTAGGAAAGACGGCCAGGCACCGTGGCTCACGCCTGTAATCCCAGCACTTTGGGAGGCCGAGTAGGGCGTATCACAAGATCGAGACCATCCTGGCTAACATGGTGAAACCCTGTCTTTACTAAAAATACAAAAAAATTAGCCAGGTATGGTAGCATGTGCCTGTAGTCCCAGCTACTTGGGTGGCTGAGGCAGGAGAATGGTGTGAACCCGGAAGGCAGAGCTTGCAGTGAGCCAAGATCACGCCACTGCACTCCAGCCTAGGTGACAGAGCGAGACTCCGTCTCAGAAAAAAAAAAAAAAAAAGAAGAAGGAAAGAAGAAGATGAGGTCAATCACTTTGCAGGGCTTAACTTCACCTTGTTGATCTTGGTATTCATAGTAAATAAATTGATGGGAAATCTATGATACTGTCACTGGGTTTGTATTGGCAGAAGAGTTCTATTGCAGGGGAAGAGAACTCTAACTGCAACCACCTAACATTGTCACAGCTCTCAAATCAATTCCAAGACATGTCCAGTTTACAAATCCACATTCACTTATATAAAGGGGAGGCCAATGTTAGATGAGTATGGGCCCTGATACATTTCAGAGTTTTCCACAGGAAACCATGGCCATAAACCTGTGACTGAGTATATAAAAGGAGAAATAATCACTCTTTTGGGCAATGACTGAATCTTCATTGTCAAATGGCACATTGATACGATGATCAGACATGGTGAGGAGAAAGTAGGAACTACTAGGCATATTAGTAAGACACATGCATGACAGAAAGAAAGAATAAATCCTATAAATATTCATAGGCCTTCCATTTTGGTAAAATTTCCATAGGTTCATTGATGTGGGACTATTGAGATATCCCTTCTAATGTATAGGGCAAGAAGCATATGGTATTCCTACAACCAAAGTGTCACAATGTCTAGGGGCCCTCCTTGGCTACTGGATGCTACTTATTCCTCATTGGGATATGCTACTCTGCCTTTTTTGTCTGACCCCAAAACATTTTGCCTCGACTAAGATACGATAAGACTGTGTAATGTGTCCTAGCTGCCATGTAAGTTTCTCTACCCCTAGGACACTATGGACCAGGATTTTCAAAAGTAATTGAAATATCAGTGATACAGAATGACGTTTGGAGCCATCAACTGGTCACATTTGATGAATCAAACCACAAATGGATGAGATTTTGTAGCAAAGCCCAGTCATCCTCTACATATACTTACTCTTTTTCTTTTTGGTAGAGACAGGGCCTTGCTTTGTTGCCCAGGCTGGTCTCAAACTCCTGGCATCAAGAGATCCTCGTTCTTCAGCCTCACAAAGCAATGAGTACAGGTATGAGCCACCAACCCCAGCCTACTTACTCTTCTTTGGAAAAGCAGCTTATGATTTTGCTAGTGGTCTTAGAAGAGACAGAGCACTTAACCATAACCTACCAAATTAGCATGTGCGCCAAGCTTTCCATCATGAATTGGGTGCAGTTGGTCATTCCTTGTCTTTAAATTTTATGTGCACATTGGTATCCCATTTGTAAGTGGCATATATATGATTGGGTTTGAGTAGGCTCTGAAGCCACAGATAAGTGTATCATGACCCCTACTCCAGAAATGAAGTGATTAAAAGTAAACAAAGCCTAAAGGACCTTATGTGCATTATAGGTGTCCCGGATAGAGAGAAAGAAAGCCAAGAGAGCTTATTTACAGAAATAAAAGCTGAAAACTTCTCAAATAAGAAAAACACATTATTCTGTAAATCCAAGAAGTTCAATGCATTTCAAGTAAGATAAACACAAAGAGACCCAACTGAGGCATATTATTAAAAAATCGTTAGAAACCAAAGACAAATGAAAAATTTGACAGCAGCAAGTCCAAAGTCACTTGTTATGTACAAAGACGTCCTTAACGAAGATGTCAGCAGATTTCTCAGCAAACATCTGAGACGAGATGATATATTCTTTGCTAAAAACACATACACACACATACACACACACACGTCTATTGAGAATTCAACATTCACCCAAACTGTCCTTCAAACTTGAGAGATAAATCTAGTGAATGGGTAGACAATACGTATAGACATAATATATGACATCAGTTGTACAAACTGGGGAGAGGGAGAAGCTGTGAATGAGTAGTATTTTGCACGTGATTGAAGTTAAGCTGGTATCCATGGGCGACAGAGTGAGACACTGTCTCAAAAAAAAAAATTAAAGAAGGCACAAATAAATGGAGATATATCCATTATTAATGGATTGGGTGACTTCATATTGCAAGGATGTCAATATATCTATAGATTCAATGCAATCCTTAATCACAGTAACATTTTTCCCAGAAATTAAAAAATCCACCTAAAATTCATGTGAAATATCAACGGATACTCTCTCCTCTCCCATGGTCATATCTTAGATCTTGTCATCTTCTAGCAAATATTCCTCCATAATAATTTGCAGCACTACTTTCCAACAACTTTGACTTGTATTTCCACCTCGGTCCCACCAGCATGCTAGCATCAGTAACATTAAAACCTCGCCAATACCTACAGTCCCCTGAGATGATTACCTTTTTACTCTTGTAACTCCTCCTCTCCTCACAGCCTGCCAAGCACATCTCTTGTCAGGAGAGGACAGCTCACTTCTCCTAATGTCTCACTTCCCAGAATTGTGTCCCATGAAAATTTTTAGCTAGATGAAGGCAGAGAAAGAAAATATTTGATTTCTTAGGCTTTATGGAAGCGATAGGAATGGCAATAGGGGTTTGGAATGGAGACTGCACGCACCAGTCAACAGGGTGTGTCCTCAATAAGTAGTGGGTACAGGACATTTACTGAGATGCTATCTCCAACTCCACTTCAGGAAAGCTTGCTGCAGAGTTAGAGTGACAGAGTCCAGATGCTCTGTTTGAGTCGCGGGCCCTTTGTCTCAGACGGGCGAGTCCGGGGGATTCTGGGAAGTGGAGTCCAGACGCTCTGTGGAGGCTCGAGCACTTCCGGTCCCCAACTGTGACGTCGCTATTTCACTTACCATAGTAGTTTGAGTTATTTCCATATCTTGCGAGTCCTTCCGAACGAGTCTCCTTTGCTCGGGGCTCGCAACCACCCAATGATCGATTCAGGAGAAAAGAAGCCTGGGCGGAGAGCAGAGGTTTGGAGGGGCGAGGGCGGGGATTGCCGCTCCGGTCCGCTGAGCCTTATGGCCTCGGGCGTCTGTGCTAGCGTCTCAGGGAGTGGGATTGGCGCGACCCTGTGTGCCCTGCTTTGACCTCGCTCAGTCCGCCTCCCTCCTTCCTACATCTGCGGCCTCTTTCAGTGTGGGGTGGAGTGTCACTTAATGTCCGTTTATCTTCCATTGCTGGTTTTTTTTTGTTGTTGTTGTTTTTGTTGTCTGTTTTGTAACGCGACTTTTCAGACCCTCCTAGTAGAACCGTTTTGAGACCTGAAAGAGGTAACACAAATGAGAGCCTTAAAAGCAGTCCCTGTCCCTCGTTGTCTGATGGTCTATTGTTAATTTCCCACGAAGCCTGTCAGGTCCCCGGATGGGGTCAGAGCTCCAGCTGCCGGGGCCCCGACCCTTCTCCCTGATCCCTACAGGACGCTGGACGATCCCTGACGCCTTCTCACTTCTTTTTAGGAAAGCGAGGGGAGCATTTAACTTTTATGGGGGACCGCAGAACGGTCAGGGTGTTTCACAGCTTTGTTTTCCCCGAGCCCGACCTTTCTAAAAGAGCAGCAGGAAGGGGACTTCTTGGCTACTGAGGGCAAACCTCTACGTGAGTGATCTTTGGCTTTTTTCTTTGACAGAGATGCTTACCTCAACCAAGAGGGTGTAGGATTTGTCCCTCGGGTATGGGTGTCGATAATAATTAAGCCTTAATTGGTAACTTTATTCCAAGTACTTTATACCCCAAAATACATGATCTCCACAGTGGCACTGTGGAGAGGTACAGCCTTTTTAATTTTAAAGATAGGCGTGAGACACAGGTGGAGCAGGGGTTGAAACCTAGGCAGTCCAGGTCAGCCTGAGTTGATCATCTCTTGAATGCATTCTCACTGAGGCAGAGAAACTAACTAGGGACAGGTGGAGAACATACGTTAGGACTTGACTGAAGGCACCTTGAGGCAAGGCTTAGGGGCTTGGACTTCTGTAGGAGTTTTTGTTTGTTTTTGGCTTTTTTTTTTTTAGTCTTATCTACTATTTTCTTTTTTCTTTTTCTTTATTTATTTTTTTGAGAGGGAATCTTGCTGTCCCCCAGGCTGAAGTGCAGTGGCGTGATCTTAGCTCATTGCAACCTCCGTCTCCCAGGTTGAGCGATTCTCCTGCCTTAGCCTCCCAAGTAGCTGGGATTACACGCGCCCGCCACCACGCCCAGCTAATTTTTTTTGTATTTTTAGTAGAGATGGAGTTTTACCATGTTGGCCAGGCTGGTCTCGAACTCCTGACCTCAGGTGATCCACCCGCCTTGGCCTCCCGAAGTGCTAGAATTTCATTCACTTTTTAACTAATATTTCATATTGTTGTGGAGCCATTTTATTATGGAGCATTCAGAAACTACAGAAATTGGAATAGAAAAAAATTTTTAAGTCCCCTTGAATCCAGGATATAAAGACAGTAAATGTTATGTTTTGAATGCATTTCTTTGTAGCCTTTCTTTTTGATCAAAATTATTATTTATATTTTATTTGTAAACATTCTAACAAAATCCTAATATTATAAATGTGTTCCCCTTATCTGTTTAACTATGGAAACTCCCAGACACCACCAAGAGAGAATTCACTAGTGAGCTTTCAAGTTGTGTCATGGTCATTCTTATTAATCTCATTGTTATTATTCCTATGATTGTTTCCTGATATTTCAAAACATTTGATATTATTTTAGAGCTATAGAAAAGTTGCAAAACAGTATAAGAAATTCTCATGTACTCTTCTTTTTGGGGGGGGGGGTGATGGAGTTTTGCTCATGTACTCTTTAGCCAAATTTGCCAAATGTTTACATTTTTCTTGTTTGCTTTGTTCATGTCCATCAGCCAAATACCACCAGGAACATACTTGCAACTAGAGACAGCTGATTGTAACTTTCTGCAGCAAGGAAGCCCACATACTTGGGTAATCGTGGGATGTCTTGTTAAGAGGCATTTAAGAAGGGCTGGTGTAGCATTTCATATAACATGCTAGATGATAGTAGATATTATATTAAATAATGTTGTTATCTGTAATTTATCAGATCTGTTAAAAGACTACTAAGACTATAGCGTTATTTTTTACATAGTATTGGATAGCATATTATCTAACACCATGTAATCTAATCTGCAGTTCCATATTTAAATTTGTTCAGTTTTTCATTTGAACTTTTTATAACTGCCCCCTTCCCCACTCTCCATCTCTATCCCCAAAGTTCAATTTTGTGTATCATCTTTAGCTGTCACATTTCCATAGTTGTCTTTAGTCTGGAAGGATTCCACATCCTTTCTTTTATGTGCATTGTTGTTTGAAGAGTATAGGCAAGTTGTTTGGGAGAAAGACATTCATTTTTAGCTTGTCTGATAATTTCACCTTTAGATTCTCCATTATTGGTGAAGATACCACAAAAGTGTTAAGGTATCCTTTTCAATGGAACATAACAGGGTCAAATGATATTCGTTTGTCCCTTCTTTGGCTTTTCAACTGTGTTGGCTTAGACAAGATCATGTCTTTCAGATTTGTCCACTGTAACGTTACTTTTTAAAAAATTATTATAAAGTTTCTCATAGGGAAATATATTATTAGTGGACAGTCTGCTGTAAATAGGAGTTTCCATTTCTCCTTCATTGATTCATTCATTTGTTGAACTATAAATATTCTATCAATATGGACTCAGAATCCAACCTTATTTATTTTAATGATATATAGATTACAATTATTTTTTCCAACTCCAGTGTATTTTACATATCATAGCATTCACCCATTTCAGGTGTACAATTCAGTGACCTTTAGGAACTTTGTGGAGTAACTATCATCGTAGTTCAGTTTAGATCTTTTACATCCCCCAGTTGGACTCTTCATGCTCATTTAATTTAAACTTCATTCTCACCTCAAATCTGCCTCAACCACTAATCTACTTTCTCCATATATACATTTGCCTATTCTGGACATTTCATCTGAATGGAATCATAGAATCCATGACTGACTTCTTTCACTTAACATAATGTTTCCAAGCTTCATGTATGTTGTAACATGAGTCAGTATTTCATTCCTTTACATTCTAAATAAGATTTCATTGTATGGATATGCCAAGATTTCTCTATTTACCCATACAAGGGCCTCTTTGTTGTGTGCAATTTTGGGTTAGTATGAATAATGCTGCTGTAAGCATTCATGTGCTAATTCACATCCATATTGTTGGGCAGCATCCCTGGCCACCCTTTCATATCTCTCTCTCTGCCTTCCATGGCACGTTCCAGGCACAATTCTTTCTGCTCGAACTGCGTAACTGAGGACTCTGCAAATTCCCTGAAGTAGGCGGGAAAATGATCACATGCGACGTGAGTATGGCGTGCCTCTCTTGCTGTTCAAATTTCATCTCACTATTCATACTGTCATGTGTTTTTCTCAGTCTTGGAAAGACTCAAGGAGAACAACAGGCATTTGAGGATCTCTTCTGTGCCAGGTGCTTCCTTCTTTTCTTTTTTTTTTTTTTTTTTTGAGGTGGAGTTTCACTCTTGTGGCTCAGGCTGGAGTGCAATGGCGTGATCTCGGCTCACCGCAACCTCCACCTCCCAGGTTCAAGCCTCAAGTAGCTGGGATTATAGGCATGCACCACCATGCCCGGCTAATTTTGTATTTTTAGTGGAGACGGGGTTTCTCCATGTTGGTCAGCCTGGTCTAAACTCCCGACCTCAGGTGATCTGCCCGCCTCGGCCTCCCAAAGTGCTGGGATTACAGGTGTGAGCCACCAGCCCAGCCACTTCCTTTTTCTCTTTTGTTATCATCAGTGGGACACCTCTCATCCAAGTAGTCAAATGAGTGTGGTGCAGCAAAGCACCAGCCCACTATGGCTTTGTTTGTTTAGGTTGTGTGATTGTGCTGCCATGTACCAGTTACCATAGGGCACCTCCAGCTTGCTCTCATGTGGCAGGTGCCAGGTCCTCACTTGGTAAGCCAGGGCTTGGGTTCTGTTGGCGGACACTGTGATGTGACCAATGCTGGTGTGGTTTACCATAGTCAAGACCGGAGGGTCACTGTGGTTGGTGACAGAACAAATCCAAAGCAGATCAGGTGACCTGAAGTGGCCACAGCTTGGGAGAACCTGAGTGTGCTGTGCTCTGCCACCACATCCTTGTGGAAACAACAGATTGACAGATGTTGGATAGGCGGAGGGCTGAGGTGGTGCAGCGACCCAGTCTGTCTGTCCCTGCCCTGAGGCTACTACCACTGCAGACATCCATTCCCCTGGTTGCTTGGCCCAGACCTTCGTGCCTCAGTTGTTCAGTCAGGAAGGGAGCCCATTGTCCTGTACAAAAAGACATGCCTGCTAGTGACACCCACCCAAATGGAAAGCTCAGTAATCTTCAGCACCATTAGAGGGACCCTAACACCCTGGTGTTCCATGGTCTCATCCTTCAACCCTCTGAGATCCCACAGAAGTCTGGGATTTCCAGGGAAACATTGCCTCCAGGTGAGAGTCAGGGAGAGCTTTGTCTGGTAGTGTGGTGACATGAATCGTAAACCATACCAGAATGTGTACTCTAAAAGGAAAAAGAATGGATGAGAACACTGAGATTGGGGTCTCAGAGGCACAGCCTAATCAGGCTACTGCCATATCTGCCTCCACCTCCGCTTCCACCAAGCTCAGTATTTCTAAGCACACGTGGCAGTGAGTTGTTTCCTTGGGACTGGTGTGCAGAGTGTAGTGTCCATGTTACCCAAGTACTGTCCTACTAGCAGGCCATGGGAATGTCTGTCCCTTCAGTGATTTTATTTTATTTTATTTGTATTTATTTTTTCGAGATGGAGTCTCGCTCTGTCACCCAGGCTGGAGTGCAGTGGCATGATCTCAGCTCACTGCAAGCTCTGCCTCCTGGGTTCACGCCATTCTCCTGCCTCAGCCTCCCAAGTAGCTGGACTACAGGTGCCCGCCACTACGCCCGGCTAATTTTTTGTATTTTTAGTGGAGATGGAGTTTCACCGTGTTAGCCAGGATGGTCTCGATCTCCTGACCTCGTGATCTGCCCGTCTCGGCCTCCCAAAGTGCTGGGATTACAGGCGTGAGCTAACCATGCCCGGCCTTTCAGTGATTTTATGAGCCACCTGTTCTATGGTTCAGTAGCTCCATTGGCCTGCAGGTGGCAGGGTGCATGCCAAGTTCATCATATTTCATGAGAGAGCGCCCATTGTTTTGCATGGTCAATGAAGGATATTCCTTGGTCAGAGTGAAATTCCATGAGGTGTTCAAAAACACAATATCAGTTCTTCTCAAGGACAGCTGTGGTAGTCCCAGTGTTCATGAGTGACATATATTTATCCCTCGTAGGCAGCAAGCTATTGCCATGCTTTTTGTCCACACACAGTGTACCCAGTCAGTAGCCATACTCCCGACCAGATGGCTGGACTGCTGACAACAGCCCAGAGTTCATGAAAATGTAGCAAGATATGGTAGTAGCAGTTGCCTGCATTGCAGTCACCACTGCATGTAGTTTGGTCCATCAGGCAAAAGGGCCGTGTTCAGTCTCAGCCTTAAGATAGCCATTCACCGGCCAGATGCTGGTCACAGCCCAGTGGAGCCTGTCTCCTTGTTGTTTCGTAGAGCTGTCTGTAAACCATACTGTACCATCAGTAGGCACATCTGAATCTGGGGCCCCAGGTAGCCCCAGGAGGTGCCAGAACCCCCCTTATGGGTCATTTGGTCTCTGCTGTTAAGCTAGCCATTTGTTCATACAGCCTCCTGGGTCTGATCTTAAATGTACCATTTCCCTTTTTTTTTTTTTTTTTTTTTTTCCTGAGAAGGAGTCTCGTTCTGTTGCCCAGGCTGGAGTGCAGTGGTGTGATCTTGGCTCACTGCAACCTCCGCCTCTTGGGTTCAAGCGATTCTCCTGCCTCAGCCTCCCCAGTAGCTGGGATTACAGGCGCCCACCACCACACCTGGCTGATTTTTGTATTTTCACTAGAGATGGGGTTTCACCATGTTGGCCAGGCTGGTCTTGAACTCCTGACCTGAGGTGATTGTCTGCCTTGGCCTCCCAAAGTGCTGGAATTACAGGAGTGAGCCACCGCACCCAGCCGAATGTACCATTTGCCTATGATAGTAGAGCTTTACCACTTATCAAATGGAGCCTGTCCAACTTTATGTGTAGGGTGAATAAGGGCCCAGGTGAGAATGGGCAGTTTATGTCACATGTGTACTCCAGCGGTAAAATGCACTGTCCCCATCAGTGCCCAATAGCAAGCAAAGAATTGCCATTTATACAAGCATCCCTTGTGGCTGCCTTAGGCAACATATCCAAAATTTCAGAGACTGGTGCACCTCAGTGTCAACGTTTTGTTTTCACAGACTCTAGTCAGTACACATGCAGATTATGGACCTTGTACCTTCATTGGACTAGCATGTTCTGAAGGTGTAAAGGCATGTCTGGGCCTTGGCTAGTTGAATGGCTTCCAAGGCCTGCTACTACAAAGGGTCCCATTCAAAGCTGATGGCTTTGCCACTCAGTGTCTATGGGGCTAAATGAACACCAAGTGAGCTATGTGCTTTCTGCAGTACCCAAAGGCCTATCGGCTGATGAGTCTCCATTCCATTAGTGGGTGCTGACACGGTTAAGACTTTTTGCTTGCCTGTATCTGGGATATTTGTTTGGCTTCCCATCCATGTGACACTGGCATTCAGCCTTCCATAGTCGGCTGTTCCTCTCCATGCCCTGGAGGTCTGTCTGACCAGCTAAAAAAGTAGGCTGTTAATTACATTTTGACCTGGTTGGTGTAACATTTTTCTCTGTGGCAAGTAATTCCTGAACTAATGAAGTAATGTGTTGTTCTCCACTAAGCATGCAGCAGTGCTTTTGCTGAACCCACCGGGGCTTGGGTGGCTTAGGTGGTAGGCAGGAGTGGATATGCCCCACTGTTATGATTCAAAAATTACATGCAAGGACACATATCCCCTGAGGCAGCGGTGATGTTCTGTGTCTGAACAGCCCAAATGCCACCGCTTCTAATACACTCAGCAGTGGGAACCACAATCACTGACACCTGAAGTAGCCCAAAGGATTCACCCCCAAACATAAGCACCACAAGCAGACAGGCGTCATGAGTCACTGAGTTCTTCCTAAAAGCTTTGATGTCATTAGTTTCATTTTTCCCCTAAGAAATATTAATATTTGAATTCCTCCCTCTCTTTTTCCCTCTTTTTTTTTTTTTTTTTTTTTTTTTTTTTTTTTTTTTTGAGGCAGAGTTTCACTCTTGTTACCCAGGCTGGAGTGCAGTGGCGCGATCTCAGCTCACTGCAACCTCCGCCTCCTGAGTTCAAGCGATTCTGCTGCCTCAGCTTCCCGAGTAGCTGGGATTACAGGCATGTGCGACCATGCCAGGTTAATTTTGTATTTTTAGTAGAGATGGGGTTTCTCCATGTTGGTCAGGCTCGTCTCAAACTCCCAACCTCAGGTGATCCGCCTGCCTCAGCCTCCCAAAGTGCCAGGATTACAGGCATGAGCCACCGCACCCGGCCTTCCCTCTTACCTTGATAGGAATGGTGAAGACCCAGAGACCAGGCTCCATCCCTAATTGTGCTGTTCTTTTTGGGATAGAAAAATCTGTTGTCCCTCACCAACAATCCGGGATAGCCAAAATAGCATGTCCTTATGATATTGCCTATACCTGTCCTGCAGATCATGAGTCTCTCTTTCTCGAAGGTCCACATCATGCTTACTGGCTCCCTTCTTCTTAGCTGCCTCAGAGACTTTCTGATAACCCACTTCACCCACTTCCAGAGCCCTCTGGCCCCAGGAATATGCGATTACTTAAAAGCCCCACAGTCAGTATATTACACGCCATGCTCCCCTGTTTTCATTTGCCATCCTCTCTTTCTGAATCCATGCAGCCAGCTCACATCTATAGAGGGGTGACCTGTGTCCCACTTATCACTCTGTTTTTTCCCATAAATCATGCAGCTTCTTTCCAGCTCCTGTGCCCCCAAGCTGCCATTACTGCCCTGGACCACAAGCTGGGGGGCATTATGCTCCCCCTTTGCTAATGCATGGTTCTGTTGGACCAGACCCTGCTGTGCCAATTCTGTGGAGCAGGTTCACGGGTTACCAATGTACATGAGTTCAGTAGAAGAGTACACTCAATACATGACTAATTACATAAAGCAGATTTATTGCTTACAGGTAGGCAGCAAGGGAGAACAAAAGCCTGCAGTTCCCTGTGAGCCAGTCCCCCAAGGCTCAAGAAAGCTGCCTGGAGTGGGTAGAGTCTGAATTGCAAGCGCCCCATTTGCAGCTCAGCGAAGGCACCCCAAGAGGCAACGTGTCCTGGATTATGTGCCTCAGGGGCAATATAGCTTACTGGGAAGTTCCTCCCTCACTTGAGATGTTATCTTCCCTAGGAAGGACACGTACATTGCATTTGTAGCACATTCTATGGTTATTATTGAGAGCTATGAGCAAGAAGGTGGGCAGAGTCAATCTAAGGTAATACTGAAAATTGCCCAGTTACCTAAAACTTGTTTGTTGGGCAAATAGTAAAGAAATGTGATCGCATCCGGGGTTAAAATATGAGAGAGAACAATGAGTGTTATCAAACCAGGTTGGGACTGAATTACTAAATGTTGCTGGAGCAATAGGCAAGATTCATTGAAACTTTTATATATATATATATATATATATATAAAGCCCAGGATGCAGCATTTAGAGTTTTAGAGGGTTACTTATAAGTAGACTCAATGAGCGCACAAAGTAAAAATATAGGACCTCATTTTCTTTCTATTCTTTTTTGTCTGTTTGTTTTTGAGACAGAGTTTCGCTCTTGTTGCCCAGGCTGGAGTGCAGTGGTACAATCTTGGCTCACTGCACCCTCTGCCTCCCAGTTTCAAGTGATTCTCCTGCCTCAGCCTCATTTTCATCATTGCATTTCTGGTGGTGCTCAGGAAAATCAGTCATTGTCAGGACACAAACAGAATAAGTTGTAAATCTGTAAGCTGACCTGTGTCTCAAGATCCAAAACAACTTTACACTTGTCCCTTGTGCCAGTGCAATGCTGCTGTCTACCAATAGTCCTTGGCTATAAGATCGAGGTGACATCTGCTTGATGTTGTAGGAGGCAGTGACCTTCAAGGACGTGGCTGTGGTCTTCACTGAGGAGGAGCTGGAGCTGCTGGACCCTGCCCAGAGGAAGCTGTACCGAGATGTGATGCTGGAGAACTTCAGGAACCTGCTCTCAGTGGGTGAGGACAGGCGCCCTCTGTAATGGAATGTCAGACCGCAGGAATGGTTTTGTATCCTAGGGTTTTCAAGTTTGAGTGTGCAGTGAGAACCTACATTTCCAGTAAATTTTGCCTAGCTATTAGGTTGGTGCAAAAGTAATTGTGGTTTTTGTCATTGGAAGTAATGGTACACCGCAATTACGTTTGCACCAACATGATATTACCTTGAACGTGTTGGGATTAAGCATGTGACTTTGCCTGTTCACAGGGCATCAACCATTCCATGGAGATACTTTCCACTTCCTAAGGGAAGAAAAGTTTTGGGTGATGGAGACAACAAGCCAAAGAGAAGGGACTTCTGGTAAGAACCAACCAGTTGTGTGTCCCTGCATGTTATTCCTGTCTGTTTTAGTTCTGTCCGTGCCCATTTCCAGCATTTTGGGATAAATGGCCGAACCTGTTTCCTGGATTATTACAACCTCCTCCTGCTGATGCCCCTGCTCCAACCCTTCCCACCGTGCCATCTGTTCTCACGGTAGCGAAAGTGATCCTTAGGAAATGAAAGTCACATTGCCATTACTCAGCTCAAAAGCCTTTCTGGCTTCTTGTTTTTATTAGTGTTACAGCCTCTTTAAGTGGCTTTTGTAGACCCTGTGATCTGCTCTTCATCCCACGCTGCGTGACTGCATCTCCTGTCCTCTCCTACTTGCTCCATCTTTTCCAGGCACATTGTCCTCCCTGCTGTTTCTCTATCCTGCCAAGGACGTCGTATTGCCTGTTGTGGCCAGTGACGTAAAACTCAGCAGATTGAACAAGAAACACTTATCTTTCTCTTCTGTAGGCCTGAAGTCTGACACATCTCACTGGGCAAAAATCAAGCTGTCTTAGGGCTTTGTTCCTTTCTGGATGTTCATGGGGAGAAGACTTCATTTTGGTTTACCAGTCTCTAGGCACTGTCTACAGTCCTTGACTCTTACTTCCTTTCCTCCATCTTCAAAGGCAACTACATTGCATCCCTGACCATTCTACTATAGTCACGGTCCCTCTGCCACTCTTCTTATGCCTTCCTCTTTCACCTTTCAGGCCCCTTGTGATAGTATTCATCAATCCTGCATGATTCAGGATGACCCTTCCACTTTCTGCTTAGCTGGCTAGTGACCTCAATGACATCTTAATCTCCCTTGCTGTGGAACATAACATGTTCATAGGTTCTGAGGACTGGATGTAGACATCTTTCAGGAATGATTATTTTCTCTACCACAAAATATTCTGCCTCCGAACCCTCACTTGCTCTTCTCTCTGATTGGAATACACTGTCCCCACAAAACTTACTGATCCCTCTTTTAGTTTATGCAGCTCTCTGCTCAGTTTTAATATCATAGGAGAGGTCGTCTCCAAGCACCTTATTGAAAATACTATCCTATCTTTACTCTTCTTGGCCTGCATGTGTTGCGTCTCATGTATTTTTGTCTACAGATAGATCACCTCTCCCCTTTACAATGTAGTCTCCTGAAGGTATTTATCTGTTTCTTTATGACTGCGTCTTCAGCACGTAGAATACTCCTGGTACATGGCAGGTATCTGTAAATATTTGGTATTCTTATGAATGAATTAATGGATGAGAGGCCTTGACTGTCTGTAAGAATCATGGAGATAGCTAATAAGTGACAGATATACCAGAGTGAATGTTATATAGTCATGCCTTGGTAACCATGGGGTTTTATTCCAGGGCCCCCTTGTGGATACCAAAAGCCAAGGATGCTCAAGTCCCTTCTACATGTAAAGTATTTGTGTGTACCCTACGCACATCCTCTCATATACTTTAAGTCATGTCTAGATTAGGTATAACACCAAATGCAATGCCTACCCATTGCTTTATTCACATGGATTCAATGTATAGGACTCAATGTGAGAAATTCACGTTTTGCTGTGTGGAACTCTGTGGAATTTTTTTTTTCCAAATACTTCTGATGCACTGCTGGTTGAATCCATGTATGCTGAACCAGCAGATATGGAGGCTGACTGTATGTTGCAGGACAGTTTTTTTTTGTTTTTTTTTTTTTGTCTGTGTATGGCTGCTTGTTGAATTTTGACTTTCTTAGATTCTCTTGACATGGTTGGTTTTCTGTGTGTTCTGTTGACCCACATCCCGTGGAAACTTTCAAGCATTGTTTTCATGACCACACTGAGAAACATGCCTTCCATGGGGCTTACCCTGGAACTTTCCTTAAGGACCATGTTTATGTCTGTGAGAAATCCTTTATATCTGTGAGCTGAATGTTGCTTATATTTCTGTATGTTTTTCTTCAAAAAATGTGGTGTCTATTTCTGTATCTTTATACAAATTTAATTGTCAAATTGTGAAGGAATATAAATTTTACAGAAATTTTTATTTATATTTACAGAGATAGAGTGTTGTATTTTCATCTGGTGAACTTTATGACCTGAAAGGAATTGGGAAACTGCTCTCAAAATAGAAACTTCCCAAAGGATACTCTCCCTTCTCTTTAGAGACTGCTTATTTATAAGTGACAGCATATTAAATATATCCATGTACTACTGTGTGCTGACAGGTACATACTTACCAATTAATATTTTCCAAGATTCTTTCCATTGGAAAAATTTGGAAGTTATCTTTCCGTTGGAAAAATTTACCTAATTCAGGACTTGGTAGTATCCTGACAAAGTTCTAAACATTTTGTGAGCATGAGCCCTAGTAAGAAACACACCTTTCAATGTAACCCAGACAAACATTTTTCATGTGTGTAGATGTGTGTGAGTGGCTTTAGTAAGCAATTCATGTAATGACATTTTTCCTGCTTGTCATAATGCTGCAATAATTTTCATTCTAGTTCTTTTTTTGTAAATGTTTATTGTGGGTTTTAACTTTATTTCAGCTCATTGAGGCATAGTCTTGAGTATAAAAAGTTATAAAACCTGTTTACATCATAGGCTTTCTTTTCATTCCACGTGATTCTTAACAACTTTGGTTGTCTGCTCAGGAGCATCCCCCTTTGTGAATCTCTGGAAGGACAGCCTTTCAGATTCCCCTCAAAACTACAGTTGTCTGTCCCTGTACTCTTTCATATAACCAAGTTACTGTCCATATCAAAACAGAAAAGTAAGATTAAGTGTTTTTATACATGTGTAAAATTATTGTGGGGGAATACTTTGAATGTATAGATATTAAACACTCTGAGGTGTTTGGTGTTTAGCATTGTGAACAGTTCAACCAACTATGAAGTTTAGTGGGACATTTTACAGAGGACTGCTCTCACTTCACATCAAGTGAACATTCGGCAGCTTTTCAAAACTATCTTCATGTTTAGTAATTTGCTAGAAAGACTCTTAGAATTCACTGAATGCTTTTATCCTCACAGTTACTGATTCTTACAGGGAAAACATGCATATTATAGTTAACCAAGATGAGAAACCAAATAAGACAGAGTCTATCCCGGCCCGCGGGATAGTCAGTGTAGGCCCTGGAGGAGGGGGTGGGAATTTGGGGAACAAGAGACATGAGAAATGGAGACAAGACAGTGCTCTGATCAAGTCTTGTTTAATGGCGGTAATGCACTGCCTTATATACACTTGGAGGGGAAGGGGTTGGGCTAAGGCGGAATGATCTCATTGCGAGGGCGTGGCCAGGTTGGTTCGGTTTCTCCGGTCGGACGTCATGTTGCGCTTGCGCTATTAGTAACAATTTTCCCGGGCGCGGGAAAGTGAGTGAAGAAGCAGCAGGAAGAGCGCATCTTTAATGAGGTATTAGTACAGGGGAAAAAGGCAAAGATAGGGAGGAGGTAGAAGGTGGAAATGAACAGAGCTCAGGCGTTTTAATCGTTAATTATTATTCGCTATGGCCGGGGCGTGCAGCTCCGGACAGGTCCCCCTTTTTATATTTTTATGATAAGAAAACCCCTCGGGAACTGCGCCTGTCTTAGGTTGGGTCAACTCACCCCCACCTTCTAGGCCCGTCATGGGATAAGGCAGCAGCAAGGGCGGCCCTCCTGTCTTAGGCTCCGATGGAGATAGTGTCCTCTTACCCGTCATTGACTGTCCAGTTCAGCACACAGGGGAGGTGGTCTTATTAAGGTAAATAAGACTCACCATTTTCAGTCATCTCAAGGCGATGATAATGAACCTGTATAGGTTTGGCCTGGAAGGCCTCGATTTGTTGTCTGACAAATGCCATAAGCTTATTAAGGATTATAGGCCTGAGAGTGAGGAAGAGTAGAAGAGTGAGTAAAGGACCAAGAAATGGCAGGAGATAGGGGAGAAGTCCATTGAGTCCAGTCCATAGTGGATTGGCGGCCAGGCCTTTTCTGCGCTTTTCTAGTTCTTCTTGCAAAGTTTTTATCTTATCTCTGATGATTCCGGATTTGTTGGCGTAAAAACAGCACTTTTCCTGTAAAGCCAAACATATCCCTCCCTGTTCTGCCGTTAACAAATCTAGACCTCTTCTATTCTGGAGAACTACTTCAGCTAACGAGTCTACTTGGTCTTGTAAATCTTGTATAGTACTGGATAAGGTCTGTACATCTGAAATTAATTGATTGGATAATTTAGTATATTGGGTTAGTGAGACTCCTAGGCCTGTGGCTCCTGTAGTAAAAGCGGTGGTGATTCCTAGTCCAGCCAACAAGGGAATAAATTGTATGGCTCGTTTCGGTCTATAAATAAAATGTTCAATAGCGGGGATGGGGATAGGTTCATCTCCAGGGATGATATCAATGTCGGGGAGAAGAGTGGCCAGAACACAAAGCCCTGTCCAATTTGTAGGTAGATACGTATATGCCATGTTATTTCCACAAACGAAAACCGAGCCATTTATGGCACACAAAGGGTTGATGGCATTGATTATGGAGGTACAGTTGTCAAACACAACATAGCCTAAATCAATTTCTTTAGTGTTATTATATGATGGTGAAAAGAGGCAAGAGGAATTAGAAAACGTCATCGGTTGAACTAAGAGGGGGGGGGTAATAGGACAGGAATTATTTACTAAGGATTCATTTGAGTAATTGACATAGGACAATGAAAGGTTAGGTATGGCTAGAGGAATAGGGGGGCCCATTTTAAGACAAAGCCAACAATCGCGGGCCAGGCTTGTATTGGACATTTGAAGTAAATTGTAAGTAGCATTGAGGATATCAAAAGTTTGAGCATCGAGCCTAAAATTATCTCTAAGCTCAGGCAGGGCTAAAGGGTGATATTGAAGTTCAGGATATGAAGCTTTATGAATTTATTCTAATTTTTTCTGGATGGTTTTAATTCTTGCAATATCTAATGGGCCTCCTCCATCAGAAATGTGAATGGGGGCAGTAGTGCTCCAACAAACAGGCTTTCCTTTTTGGCCGTTAC